TGCAAGCACCGAACATTTTCACAGCTGTTAAGTAGTAGTTACTTTGCTTTCAAAGAAGCACCCCGAAGCTCTGCTTGTTAATCACAAAGCACCCTGGTGGTCATTGTTTTGTGTTTGAACAGCCCACTTATCCACCTTGGTAGTTTCCTAGAGGTAATGACCCAAAGTAGGCTAATAAACCCTTTCATGGTGTGGCAGCTCTTTCATCTCCATCCTTTACTTTATTGATCTCCATTGAAGCACCGAATGGCTTTGTAGTATAATTGCACTTAAGGAGTTGTGTGTGGATGCTCTTGGTGGGAGTAACAGGAATTTGAAGGCAATGATTTTGAAGTGCGGTAACTGAATAAATGTGGGAATGTCGAGTGTGGAGAGCAGGTTTTGCCCTCTTGGAAATCTCAAACCTGGATGAACCTGCTCTCAAGCAGCACATTGGCTTCCCCAATGTGCCTAAGATCAGGAGAGGTCCTGTTCTGATGCAACTCCCTTCATATATTACACTGGCTTCTTCTAGTAGCAGGGCTTTCTTTCTGGGACTCCTGTCCTATGGAAACTCATCTTCAAGGAGCAATCAAGTTCCAGGACTCTGTATATTTTGAACGTGGGTGAAGATAGGGATGAGCAAGACAGTTTCTCATTTTTCCAATATTAACTTCAGTTCTCCACATCAGTTTCACCACAAAAAAGAAACCCTCTCAAAAGTTCACCAGCGTTTTAGTGTCCCTTTGTCCTAATATGCACACCTTTCTGAGCAATCTTGACTCGTCGGAGAACTGCATTGCAAAATTTGGAGAACTGCCAATTTCACTTTGCGTATTCGGAATGGGAAATGCAAACCAAACCGAAATTCTCCCCCGTCCCCTAGGCGCGAGGCTTGCTAATTTGGTTTCCATCCGTTGTCTGTTTTTAATTTGTAATTCCAAAGTCTATTCTGATGGTTTCTTGTTCGCTGTGGTTTTGGTACTGCAATTCTCTGTATTTTATGGTGTGCCACTCTGTGTGTGCTCTAGGGACCAACCAGCAGGGTAAATGTGTAATTAACAATGACAGAGATGCCATTAGCTAAGCGCCATGGATTTTTTCAATCATTCAGTTTCTAACCAGTCTTTAACTAACGGTCAATGCATACAAGATGCTCGCCATGAGTGAGCTGCAGAACCAACCCTCTCTACAATGAGTGGTTCCCAGCTGAAGGATTTGCCATGTAGATCACCACCATTCTGTTAAGAGTCTTCCCACCAATGGCAGGTAATGTCTTGCAGGGACATGGCGATTCTTGACACGATGACAGACATCCTATGTTTACAGCTGCGGTAGGGATCACTCACCACAGGGAGACGATTTCAACTTTTGCAGCACAGTTTTGCAAAGCAGGCATTCCAGTTGGGGCACATTCACACGACAGTCACTTGTGCTTCCGGTTGTGCAAAACTAGAGGGGCAAGATGCATTGCTTAGAGCCAGACATCAGAGGTGGATTTCGGGTACAGATGGATGAGCACCCTCGACCCTTCTTAGGTTGGGCTGATTGAGAAATGATCCGAGTTATTCACAAAATAAATTTGAATAGCTCCATAGATTTTCTAAGCCAATCTGACATTTGAAAAATAAGCCCACTTCCCAGTTTTCTGCTCAATGTCCAGATACAATTGGGGGAAACATTAACTCTCTGGATGTTGCTGAACTTACAACTCCCATCAGCCCCAGCAAGCCTGGCCCAAAATATTGGGGAAACATATAGAAGACTACATACCTGCTTTAGAAGCATTGAATGTCCCAATATTGATGGGATTCCATCCTATTGGAAATACCATCCTGATCCCTCGAGGTTTCAGAGGCCATGTCTAGATTATCGTCAGCCTCAGCCCCGGCTTCCACTGTTTTATTATTTTGCCTGCTCTTTTACTGCTGATGTTTCACATTATACCCTATGTTTCATAGATATTGTTTGGACTGCTATATGGAAGCCAGTTTGGGAGCCCAATAATGTCAAACAAGCAAATCAATAAACAACTCGAGATCTTTCTGCATCTGTAACTGAGATGGCGGTTTAGTTACCTTTTGTAGAAAAGAGAAGTAGAAAGGGGGAGGATGGAAAAGGATCAAAGGTGAACAAGTTTCCACAAGGAAACTTGGAATTGTAGGCCTAGCATGAAGGATGGGAGTGTTTAGGAAGGATTTTTAGGAAGGGAAATGGGGTACGACAGAGCCTTAATGAGGCATAGCTGCATTTTCTTAATTTTCTGTGGGAGAGCTAAGGATGCACTTCAGCTTCCATTCCTGCCAACAGAATAGGCTTGGCTGGATCATGCCCTTGACATGTTTTTCTTTTTAAATCTAGTAGGAAATTAGCTTATGTGGCACCTTCCAAAATTGTGGGTATTACCCAGTGATAGCAATGCTGCAGATCAACTGAAATTAATGGGCACTAATTTCACTGGGCCATCTCTGAGTCAAACTTAGTTGGATACAGCACTTTACATGGGATCCAAATCATTTCAACTAACACCACCACAACAAAATAGGAGAGCAATAAATTAATTCTACCACTCTGGATTTTAAATGTGAATATCTAGTGCCCTCCTGTGGCTGAAGGGTGCATATTCTAACCTAAAGAAAACTACAGGTGACTCCTGTTGCCAAGCAGATGAAGGCCTTGCCCATGCATGGTATTGAATTATACCATAATAAAGAAATGTTTCGTAAGCGTGAGATGCATATATGTTATAATGTTGTTGGACAAAGCACCAGCCTTTCATTCTGGTGCATCCATCCACTCCCGGAATTGCTGCAATCCACGATTTTCCCACCTTCCTTGCACCCTTAACAAAACACAGCCCCCAAAATTATTTGGGAGAAGCCATGACTGTTCAAAGTCGTATAATACCACTTTAAATGTGTGAATGTGGGCTTAGAAGGGCTTGGGCCACATGGTCCAGCAGCGTCTTCTACAAATTCTTTCAGTGTGTAAAGGAGTTACTCTGCCCCCAATTGTGTGACTATTATGGAGCAGCATGAAACCTGAATTTGCTTATTTCTCCTCCTCCCTCCCCTTTCATTGTCCTTTTATGCCGTTCTGCTTAAGCTGAGTTCTAACAGCATCCCTGTGCCAAATTGCAAAAAGGAGGTTCCTTTCATCCCAACCCCTCAAAGCTTGGACAGTCTTAGCATCTGCAAATATGCCTTTGCTGAGGGTGCATTTGGAATAGGGAAACACCACCAAAATAGTGTTTGCTGTGGGTTGCTGGGATAGCCTGTGATCTAGAATCTCTTAAGTCTACTGCATTTCATTGCCCTTTCACGGGGGACATGACGTATTTTCAAAAGCATGCTGGCAATTTGATTCAGTTCTCGCTCAGAGGAGGAACAAATGACATTAGACTGCTTTCCGTTGGAAAAAATGGAGGGCCGTGCTGTGAACTGCTGGCTTAATTAGTTCAAGGGACTGCCTTGGAAAAAGCGGAGTTTGTTCTTTACTCCATAAAATTCTGCTTGATGTGTTTTTAAACAGAAGAAGCTGTCTTATATTAGGCCAGCCTGTTGGTCCATCTGAGCTCAGCTTTGAAATGACAGCAGGTCTGCAGGGTCTTCAGATGGGAGGCTATCTCAACCTTACCTAGAGATTGAACCTGGGTTGTGGAAAGGTGATGCTGTTCCACTGAACTATGGCTCTTCCCTTAAAAGGAAGATGCCAAGTCAGATGATTGGTCATATCTAGTACTGTCTACACCGAATTATAGAAGCACTGCAGGGTTTTGAGACAGGGGCCTCTCCCAGCCCTATCTGAAGATCCCAGGCGGGGTGCCAACATGAAAAAAATAATGGGGGTGGGCACTTAAGCCCAGCCTGGCATAATCAATGTGGGGTGGGGATTACCTGCCCCCCCATATTTTATTCAAGTTGGCACTCCTGGGAAGAGGAGTCATTGTTGTGCCACATCATCTGGCCCCATTCCCACCCAAACCAGTAATACCACTCAGGGCTGGAGCTAGGAATGGTGGGGGGCATTCAGCCTTGTTTGCATTTTGTTGAGATGCTAACAAATTCACACTTCTCGAAGCAATGCTTGACCCAAAACACAGCCATCCTTTGGAAATTGCACTTTTGCTGAATGTTGCAATGCAGTTGTCCAACCAACCAGTGGGTTGTATTTAATGCAGGGTTCTGTCAGTGCAAGGATTGCTACTATTACACTGGGGTTTTCCTCTCTCCTCCTCCTCCTATGCACCCCCATATATATACATTCTAGGGGTTCCCCCAACCCTCTAGAGCAGATTTAGGGAGGGTACAGTGGATACGCGAGAGGAGGAGAGGGGGGAAAGCCCCATTATGCAAGTGGAAATTTTCGTGTTGATGGGACAAGTCCATGGAACACCACCACAAAAAGGCATTATATTAAGGGAAATTGCTTGCATAAATGTATACACATCAATCAAAACAACAATGTATTTTAAAGGAGAAATGGGTACTAAAATGCTGATGGTTTTTTTTGAGGTTTTTGGTTTTTTTTTAATGCAAATGGTTGCAGAAATGTGGAAAACTTAATTTAAGATCGGAAGAATGAGAAACTGGTGGAACCGAAACAGACAGATGTGCCCATTCCTGGTTGGAGCACACTTGAAAGCTGCTAAAGATGACCTCCCTGCGGTTACTGGTGTTCATGTGGCCTCCCAACATTTTAAAAGCGCTGCATGGAACTTGACCATGACCTTATTCATCCTCCTCCCTCTCCACATTCCTGGTGCCCATCGGAGGGAGCGTAGAGGATTGCCACGTGATGCCCCAACTCCATTCATTATAGCAGCTATGGATGAGGATCAGTTGCCGCGAGGAGTCCATTGTCGCTGGCATTGTGTCTTTTCTTTTGGGCATGGGCTCCAGCTGTCCGATACAACCATTTTTGTAGTCATTCTCTCTCTCTTCTCCCCGTCTCTCAAAAAGGTATGTCTTTTTCTAATTGCTCACTGTTGGCTTACGATGTGTGTGTGCTCTTTCTTATAGGAAAGAGGACACCGAAGATAAAAGACAAGAAGAAGAAGAAAAAGAATTTAATGGAGCGAGCACAGAAGCAGCACAGCCTCTTCTTAGCTACAGACCGAGCCGGCCAATAGAGACTTTGGTCATGTGTTTCTGTTGTTCTTTTATTTTTATTTTTTTGCAAAATGCACAGAAGCTGCTAAATGCTCCTGCACACTGATGCACTGCAATTCAGCTGCTGCTTTGACAGTATTGGTTGCAAATAACTTGTGGAGGGGGAAAAAAGAGAGAGGATATGTCCACAAGCTTGTTTGTATGTGTGTTATTTATACTTTTGTCGTTGTCGTTATTGCCGTCGTCGTTGGTTTACCCCCCCCCAAAAAAAAACCCTGGAGACTCCAGGGACAGAACAAGCGCACTGAGTTGAATCAGTGGGTGTGGGTATCCAAAAAGCTCTTCTTTTCGTTTCGTTTTCTGTTTTGACTTCAGTCGGTGCCTGCGAGATGGAGGCAGCCAGCGTCTTGGCATGGAATGTTGCAGCAGGAGCTTCGGGCTGCAAATCATCGCTGGGTGATGACGGACTTGTGCATATTTATATAAGGAAAGGAACTCGGGGGAGTTTAGCGTTGCATATATGTCCTCTTGTTTCTCATCTTGTACATTTTTCAAGAGTAAATAACACTAAGCAGATATTCATAGATAATGTACTTTTTGTCCTCAGCACCCGTTGTATTGGAACAGTTGTATAGTCAAACTGCTCTCGACTGATATATCACAGGAGTTGCTGCTTAGTATTTCTGGAGCATAGCAGTTCCCATGTGTACATATTATGCTGTCTACGTATAAATAAACCTATTTACAATACGCCTGTGTCTGTTTTTCTGTATATGCAACTCATTACTCGTCTTCGGTGTCGGGTCACTTTGGTTCCAGTTAGGGATTGGGTGGGGTGGTGGAATGTGAACCTAACCAAATTTGCAGTTCCTGAACCAGCAGGGCAGCCGAAAACACTTTGGAATTTCCAGTGCTCCGAATTTTGCGATGCACATCTCTGACCAAAACATGCATTACAATGTGTGCATTGGTGAAAAGCGTGTGCAGCAATGCAAATAGTGGACAAATGTGTAGAATTATGAGAAATGATTTGTTTACAATGTCTGCAAATGTGTGAAGAAATGGGATGAACTGATCCCATTGTTTAATGAAAAGAGGAGGAGGAGGAGAAGAAGAAGAAGAGGAGTTTGGATTTGATATCCCGCTTTATCACTACCCAAAGGAGTCTCAAAGTGGCTAACATTCTCCTTTCCCTTCCTCCCCCACAACAAACACTCTGTGAGGTGAGTGGGGCTGAGAGACCTCAGATAAGTGTGACTGGCCCAAGGTCACCCAGTAGCTGCATGTGGAGGAGCGGAGATGCGAACCCAGTTCCCCAGATTACAAATCTACCGCTCTTAACCACTACACCACACTGGCTCCCAAAGAGCAAAGTGAAACAAGTCACTCGTTGGAAGTAACTTCCATCCAAGTGGGATTGTTCTACCATTGACGGCAGCATGGAGCTTAAAATCTGCATAGCACATACATCCCCCCATTAGCTACAGACGTATTTGTACTATTTTCAAAACGCAACATAGAGACTAACAATGTGTACCTCAACTTATTTTTTAAACTGCTGTTGCTGCTCATTTGAGAGAATCACAGAAGAAAAAATGGATGACTAGGAAGCATGCCTTCTAGTTAAACCATCAATATCAAGGACCCATTCTATTTAGCCCGGTCAGCTTTTGGGGTGTGCCTTGCCATTAACCTTTCAGAGCCTCAATTCAAAGTTCTCCCATTTGGAAGTGTTAAACCACCACTGGCTACATTCTTCCACACGCTAAACACTCAGACGTGGTACTAAAATACGCTGGCCTTCAAAATGGCTCTTCTTGCAACCCACATAGTTAGATAGCCATGTTACTAAGGTTAGGGGGTGGTGTCCTCTCTACCAAGAGGGAGGTTAAAGCAGTCTTTTCCATTTCTCATCCCTGTGATTTTAAAAAGCCTCAATTTGTTAGGAAGTCCATTTGACTTTTAACGATATTGTTGCAGAAATGTGGAGGACTGAATTTAAGGCTGGGTAAATGAGAAACGGAGAGACCCCAAATTGACAGATCCTTCCATCCCTAATTGCGAGCAACTCTTTAGATCACCGTGACCTTGATAATTGTTGCTTGGGCCTCAGGAACTCAACAAGCCTTTAATTTCTGCATTTCTTTCCCCCCTGCACTGAAAGAAATAGTTGTGTGCTCGGGCAAACAAATCAAAGCCAAGATGTGCAAGAGCAGCAAGCATGTTCGATTGCTCCTCGCTAACCAGAGCGGGGGTCGAGATTGAGACCTGTCAGTCAACAAATCCCTTTTGAAATGGCAGAGACCTAAAGACCCACTTCAGAGCAAATCAGAAAAATGTTTTGGAATCGAAATGCTTTTGGAGTGTGAAGCATATGGAAGTGGAGTAAATATTTAAGCTTTACAAAAATGCCATGTTGGCTTTGTAGATAGCTGCCTTACGTAATTACCACCTATCCCTTACATAGGGCCAGGATCCAGCCCCTCCCAATACACGCTCAGAGTGCAGAGAGCGTCTTTATGGGCTGTGTTGTAAGTAACACCAATTGACTTTGTAGGAAAGAGTAAGAGCTCAATTCTGGGCATGTTTACTTAGAAATGAATACTGCAGAGTTTAATCAGGTTTACTCCCAAGTAGCATAAAAAGCAAAGATAGCAGTGCCAATCCATAAATTGGTTGAAATCCACAGTTGGGTAATACATTTATGTAGAACAAATTAAAATGTCATGGACTCCTGTCAAGCTTTCAAATTCCACAGAACTCTTCATAGCCATAGGGTCAGCTTGGAGACACAGTCCTGAGATAGAGACTGTAGTCTCTCTCAGGTGCTAGAGTTAACAAGTTACATTGGAACTGGGATAAGAAACAAAGCATGGCTTCTAATTTCTGGGAATACAAAGCAGAGCACCCCACGCTTCGGGCAGATATCTGGCAGCCCCACAAGCTCAGGGGACAGCGGGGAGGCGCAGCACTGCCATCCCGCTGTTCCTCGACCTGGTTTGGAGGCTGGCGCTGGGGAGAAGTGCGCTTCTCCCCAGCGCCAGCCCCACAAGCTCGGGGGACAGTGGGGAGGCGGAACGCCGCCATACCGCTGTTCGCCGACCTGGTTTGGGGGGGGGAATAAAGGAAAATTTGTTTTCCTTTATTTCCCCCCAAAAAAACTAGCTGCGTCCTATGGGCCGGTGCGTCCTATGGGACGAAAAATACGGTAGGTTTTAGCAGAAGGTGAATTGCAATGGAATGGAAACAGTGCTGAATGCAAGAAACACAGGGCAGGATGGAGATTGCTGACTCCTTACACCCCTGCTTGTAACCCAGAGCTGTCCCATGCCTTAAGCCTGGAGTGGGGAGCCTTTTTTTTCCCAGATCAAGGGCCTCATTTGCTTCTGGACAATCTTCTGATGGTCACATCTGATGGTGGGTGGAACAACAAATATGAATGTTCCCTTCAGAAACATTGTACGCCCGTGCGCGCACACACACAGCCTTCCCCATCCTCCAGCCAGACAAACCGGAGTCATTTTCACAGTTCAAGTTCATATTCCACTCAACCAACTTACTCAAGAAGGGTTAAAGGAGGGTATGTGGTTGAGGAGGAGGTGTAACCTAGGGAGGTCTGCAAGGGTCAGATAAATAAGCCTTCAGGGCCACATTTGGAACAGAGGTTTGAGATTCCTCACCTCTGCCTTAAACAAAACACAGAGGTTTGTGGATAGGTGGAGGCCAGCAGTAGAGTGAAAGTCAGATATTAATTTTAGATGATATAATGTGTAAAAGAGTCAGTTAAGCCAAGGATGGGATGTAACCCTCAATATCTAAAAAGTCCATCTCTAGGTTGTAGAAAAGTATCTTCCTCTGGTTGCAGAATCTTCCCCAAATTGCTAGATTCAATATTATTCAAGGCACATAAAAGGGAAGCTGTGCTGGTCCATAAGAAAAACTCCAAATTTTTTCCGTCTTCCTTAAGTACCTGGGATTGCAAAGAGTTTAATTTGGCCTGGGTTGTGTCACTTGTTCTAGAATGTTCCAGAAATCCAACTGAAAAGGTACCGAGCAAAGTTTAAAATAACATTACTGATGGGCTACTGACATTTCAGACATACATACTCGGCACCAAAAAAGTTGGAGCTAAAATGGATTAAACCTGAACATATATTTCCTGGATTTCTCTCTAGGTTCTGCCATGAAGCCACTACGGGGACTAGTACTGGAATCAATTCCCCCTTACATTCACTCAAGATCTGGTAGAAATATTAACCAGTAAATTAAATTTGCAGATGATGTTAAACTGGAACAAATTGTCAACCTCAATCAGGTTTCAAGTGAAACGGACTGCACAATCCAGGGATTCATATGCTCAATTAAGGCTGCGGTCCTCTGCACATTTACCTGGGAGTAAGCCACATCAAACACTGCCAGAATTGCTTCTGAATAAAACATGCATAGAGTGGTTTAATAGTCAATCCCTCTTCCTATGGAACTCTGGGAACTGTTCCTTGGCAAGGAAAAAATGGATCTCCTAATAACTCAGCACCCTTGACAAACCACACTTCCAAGGATTCTTTGGGGGAAACCGTGGCTGTTTAAAGTGGCACAATACTGATTTAAATGTGCAGTACAGATGATGCTTAATTGCACTCATTTCCATCTCCAGTTCTGGGCACCACAGTTCAAGAAGGACACTGACAAACTGGAACGTGTCCAGAGGATGGCAACCAAAATGGTCAAAGGTCTGGAAACGATGCCTTATGAGGAATGGCTAAGGAAGCTGGGCATGTTTAGCCTGGAGAAGAGGAGGTTAAGGGGTGATATGATAGCCATGTTCAAATATATAAAAGGATGTCATATAGAGGAGGGAGAAAGGTTGTTTTCTGCTGCTCCAGAGAAGCGGACACGGGGCAATGGATCCAAACTACAAGAAAGAAGATTCCACCTAAACATTAGGAAGAACTTCCTGACAGTAAGAGCTGTTCGACAGTGGAATTTGCTGCCAAGGAGTGTGGTGGAGTCTCCTTCTTTGGAGGTCTTTAAGCAGAGGCTTGACAACCATATGTCAGGAGTGCTCTGATGGTGTTTCCTGCTTGGCAGGGGGTTGGACTCGATGGCCCTTGTGGTCTATTCCAACTCTATGATTCTATGATTCTATGATCCTGCAAAGCACAGAGGAGAATTGTCTGCCCAGCTTCTAATAGAATCAGAACTTGGAGCTCATAAAGCATTTTATTATTAAAAGAGCCGCACCACAGTTGGAAAAGCTGATTTTTAATATTATTTAATAATATTTTTTAGAAATATTATTACAATACCCTGTCTTCACCTTCGGACATTTCCCCCTCAGTTGGCCTTGTGTGTTTTTGTACCAGGAGAACATTAGATGCCATTTCCTGTTCAAATGTGTTCCCAAGAGAAGGTGAAAAAGCACATGATAGTTCTGCTTGTAGATGGGATGCAAGCAGGGGGGATGGACCCTTATAATGCAGCATTGGGCATTCTGTTCCTGATTACTAAATATAAAAAGTGGATCTCATATTTCTAAAGCATGGATTTCAGTTAGAATGGGAATGGGGAACCTGCTGGACTCCAAACTACCATCAGCTCCCACCAGCATGGATGATGGTCCAGGGCAATGGAAGTTGGAGCCCAACTTTTGTAGGGTTAAGCGTTCCCCATCCCTGGTTTAGAATGTCTGAACATTCATAACTCTAAGGGATGATTTTGAGGTGGTAAAATCTACACGCAGGAACTTTACC